GCCTGGAGAATTTACACCTGACCAGAAGGGTACCCGGACATGCACCTGGCACTGTGCTGAGGGATAGAATCACCTGTGCTCACCAGCGCATGGTGGTCTCTCAAGACACCCAGGGATGCCACGGTCTCCTACTGCTAAGTGCTAGCTCCTAGCAGCTCCCAATCTCCCATCCTTCCCTCTCCCTCCAGATGCTCCCTCCTGGTGGGTCAGGCACAGTGGGAAGATGCAGCTAACCTGGCCCAGCTCCACCTGTGTGGCCCCAGGTGAGGCCACTGAACAAGCCTCTGAAGTTTCAGCTGTCACTATTGACCAAGCAGGCTCACTGGGGCCACCTGGCAGGGTTTGCTGAACCACAGAAAGGGACCAGATCCTCCCAAAGCAGAGGGAGAACCACAAAGAGGCCTGCAAGGCAGTGGGGGAGAAACTAACCCTGGCCAGGCTCCTTCCTGTGGCCTGTATGGTACCTACGCACTGTGAGGGAGGGAGAGAACAAGGCCTCTTCTCCTTGGCCAACTTTATCTTTTGGGAACAATGAAAAGAAGTAGGAAAGAAATCAGCTTATAAAATAGTCAAGAGCGATCCTTCCATATAATCACAGTGGTACTCAGGGAAACCATCCATACCCAAAGCTCCAAAACCCTCTACTCCTTTGCACATGAACTCTGAAGTTTGAAGCCAATTCTCATCTAAACACCACCTAAATCAGACCTGGGTGAGGCTTGATGCAGGATTCCTTTCCAGGCAAATTCCTCTCCAGCAGTTAGCCTGTGAAACCACACAACGTATGTGCTTCTATAACTTGTGGTGGACAGGTGTGGGACAGATGTTTCCACTCCAGAAGGGAGCAATCAGAAGGAAGAAAGGGGTGATGGGTCCAAGCAAGTCCAAGACCTACAGGACAAATGTCATAGGATCTGGAAGCCTGGAGGAATCCCCTGGGGTCATCACTCAGGCAGGCTGGATGGGCAGTCTGGCCAGTGGCTCTCCTGGAGGGCCCCTGTGCACCTCAGAGGAAGCAGTCCTGCCACAGTCCTGGGATCTCTGAACCAGCTCAGGGCCACACTGTTCCTTCCTGAAGCCTCACAGGTGGGGATGGCTGAATGGCTCCATTGTCCCTCCCTATGCCTGGCCAAGCTCGCTTCCTGATTAGACTTGGGGTTCACACCCACAGTCTCTTCAGCACTCAGCTGTCCAACTGTGCATCTTTCTAAATTGTTGCAATATGATCAGACTGAGAATTTTCAGGAGGATGGCAAATTTGAGCCCAGCAAGACCTTGTGTAAAAATAATTTTAAAAGGGCTGGGGGTGTAGCTCAGTGGTAGAGTGCTAGCACATGTGAGCCCCTGGGTTCAATCCCCAGTACCACACACACACAAAAAGAAAAAAAAATAAAATCTCCTTGGCTAAACATCTTATCCCTTGCAAGTCCCACTTTCCACACGACGAGAGCAAGTGACGCAAACTGTTGGCTACTCTACAACAAAGCACTTTCCTAGGGTGAGTGCCAAACTCCTTGTCCCGCTGACCCTCACTACAGCAGCCGTGACAGCTCCTTTCCTGCCAAGATTCTGCTCTACATGGCAGGTGATCCCTCAGAAGACAGCTTTCTCTACAACAGCCTCTCCTTCCCAAGCCCTCAGCAGGACTGCTACCCCAGCCACATGTCGTGTCAGACCCAACCACCCAGCTTGTCCCAGTGCCACCGCCCCCTTCCCATGGCTGCTGCTGTCACCCTCCTCTAAAGCTGTGGCCACACTTCTGGGTACTTTACAACACAGCACCTTGCTTTTCAGTACCAACCTGTTGACCTGCTCAGGCTGGGTGGAGCATAGTACCACAGACTGGGCGGCTTGGACAACAGGGGCTTATTTTCCATGTGCTAGAGGTTGGTGGTCAGGTCTGGGTGCCTGCTGACATGGGCACTGCGAGGGCTCTTGCTGGCTGGGGACATCTGCCTGCTTGTGTTGTCTTCACGTGGTCTTTCTTGGATCCTGGAGGGCTCGTTCCTGTCTTCTTTCACAAGGGCACAACCCTGTCATGCCTGGCCTCATCTTTTCATCCTTATTTAGACCAATTATAGAGGTCCCATCTCCAAAGATGAACACACTGGCTTTAGGGCTTGAACACATGAATTTTGGAGGGATACAAACTCTCAATCCATAACAAGAATCATCAAGAGAAGAGTAACTCTTTAGTGAAAGCTGAAAATCACTTAACCACTACACATTTCAAGCCTGGGTTTAAAGTCCTGAATGGTCTTCAGAGGTGTCTGGTTCTTTCATGCTAATGAATGTGGCATTTGCATTCAATATCCCACAACACAGCCTGTGATGTCGCAGACTTCTGCTCTGGGCCCAGCCAGGTGGACATGAGGCCTATTCATGAGCCCCGGGCAGCAGCTCCTGGAGGGCCAGGAATGAGGGACAGGAGGCATAGGCTGGCAGAAGAGAGCAGAGGAGAGCTCATCTCCCGGGAAACCCTCCAGGTCTTGTTGGGGGTTGCTGAACTGAGCCTGCTCCTCCTCTTCATGCTGTGTTCTGGACATCCCCTCTCCCCATACTATCTCCACAAGAACACACATCTGCTGGCCAGATTGACACTCCTGTCCCCTGAGTCATTGGGTGGGTGGCCGCAGACCAGGCCTGGGTGGGCCCTGGGCCTTGCACCCTCAGAGCCCAAGATGTCCACTCCCAGAGGCCTCCCTAGACCTTGTCCTGCTGACCACAATGGCCTCTGGGAAACCTCCAAACAATGCCCCCCAGGTGCTTCTCTCTCAGGTGGTCAGTAAGGGGTGCTGGGCTTTGCAGCCCTTTAGTCAGGTCAGCACTGAGCCTGGAAGGGGCCCAGCTCCACTCTCTGTACCCTCATGGGATGTGACAGTCCCTACACTGCCTACCACACTTTTCTCTTCACCCTGAATTTCCCCTTTCGTGAAGAGCAAGATCTACAAGAGTGGAAAATCCCAGCCTGACAGCTTCCCATAAAACATGGTAGAAGCAGAGGTTGTGTAACAGAAAACTGCCGGCCCCTGCTCTACAGAAACCAAGTAAATAAAGCAGCATCACCCACTGCCTTTTAAATTCACAGAAGCCAACCCCAGACATTGCAAGCAGATTTCCAGGCCACTATCCCCTCTAAGACAGAAACTTTCCAGTTCATGTTCTTCTCAAAGGTGACATTTTATGGATGTTCTAATGAAATTAGCTCATCTATTTCTGAATCAACAAGCATAGACTAAGATCCAATTTTCATAGCTTGACTATTTTCTAACTACATAGTGGAAATAAATTCAGGAAAGCTTGAAGGGGATCGCAAAGTTTAGAATACTTGGTAGGAAAACATGCACTGAAGAAGAGGTATGTTATTGGGGCTGAGGTGTAGCTCTGTGGCAGGTGCTGCCAGCATGCACAAGGCCCTGGTTCCATTCCCAGTAACACCCCCCACCATGCACACATACAGAAAGTACTATTTCACCTGACTATAAAAGCTGAACCACTTCATAAAGCCTGGGACCTGGAACGTTCACTTTCTCTCAGCACTTGCGGAGCTCTCAAAGGCACCGTGACCCAAACAGATAGCCTGGGCACCTGCCTACATCAGCAGAGGTGTAGCAATTCACATCCCCATCTTTTCAGCCAGTGGGAAAAAGGGAAAATCACTGTGACATATAAGTCATTTGGGTGGACTCCTGGACAGTCATCAGAACTGGCTGGAACAGCAGAATTGGAACTTGCCGGAGCCACTGTACTCTGGATGGGCACTGGTAGATTGGTCCAGAGAGGACACACCCTTCCACCTTCCCATCTCTGGCCAATGAAGGGCACAGGGTATGTAGGGAAGTGTGCTTGGACAGATGACTAAGCCATCTTCACCTCTGGGAGTCTCCCCACCCTAGCGGCCTGTGATACCCAGACACCGAGGCTGCCCCCCCCCCAGCCCTGGGGTTTGTTAATGTCTCCAGAGGCGAGGGGTCCACAGGAACACATTGCTCACTATAAAAGGGGTGCTCCCCATAAGAAAGAATCCATAGGCCTCCACTCTGTCCTAGCTTCCATGCATGGGAGAGTTTGAGAGAATGTTCCTACTCCCCTGCCCCGGGCCCCTGGAGAGATATACAGGTCGCACTCCCTCTCTGCCCCCTACGGGGACACCCAGGTCCTACTCCTTTGCCCCCACCCCAGCCCCTGGAAAGTCAAGGGCCCACCCTACATAGTGGAACTCCTCAGGCCTGACACTGCCAGCACACATAGAGCACAGAAGCCAAGCAGCAACATTCAGGACAGGTCCACTACCAGTCCACAAATCCAAGCCCCCAGGTGACCAAAACTGTGACCTTAAGAAACCCATAATAGGCAGGACTCGGCCATGGCCTTCAGATACCAGTAAGCAGGGTCCAGGTAAAAGTCTGACTGCAGACTGGTGAGGGACACAGGGTATACAGGGAGGCAGAGCAAATGGTCCAGGGCCAGAGCCCCTCAAGGGGACACCTGCCCATTGTCCTCTTCCAGAACAAGAGCACCAGTGTGCAGGAAAGTACACAAGCCTGTCACCCCAGGCATCAGCTGGGAGAGGGAATAGAGCAGCACTTGGCCCTGGCCTATGACACAGCCCTTGGTTCACGACATGGGAATATCGAGCACAGCAGGCAGGGAGCACAAGCAGCGTGGCATGCAGAGATGCAAAAGGAGCCACATGTGGACACTTGGCATCCTGACCAGCAGGCCCTGCTCCTCACGAAGTAGCTCCCCATCCCCAGAGTCCTGGCTGTGGAAGCCCTGGGAGATAGGCAGGGGCAGTACCCTGGCTCAGGCACTCAGCAAACCCAGGACCCTTGACAAGTGGGTGGAGGTCCCTAACGTGAGGCACTGGGGCCAGCCAGGGCCACTGTGATAAGCAGCTGGGAAGGGGAAGGGTAGGACACAGCACTTCTTGGTCACAGTGGATCCAGCAGGGCCCTGCTGGGCTCAGAAGGACACAGGTAGGCACGGGTGAGCCCTACCTTGGAAGAAGCTCTTCACTCGGAGGTAACTGACGCTGAGGCGCAGGACAGACAGCTTGTCCAACTTAGAGATGACATCAGGTGGGAAGGGCAGCAGGCTGGCCAGGTGGTCCAGCTCCGCATTGAGACGATCTCGGTGCCGCTTGGATGGGTTCGATGTCTCAGCCCCGATGGCAGGTCTCCTGTGAGAAGCAGACTCCATCAGATGGCTGCCACCAGGAGCCGCAGCCCTACAGCTGGTGCTCCAAGACAAAAGCACCGAGGACTAAAACTCACCCAGCCCTGAAGATGTGGATCAAGAAACTGGATATCACATTAGCACATGTAACTCAGCATGTGGAGGAAATGCATAGGAAATAGAGAATAGGCTCCATGAGAATGGAGGCTCTGGTGAGGATGAAGGGTATGGTACTCTGCTCTGTGGCTTAGGCCTTAACCTCTCTGTGCCACAGTTCCCTGGAGCAGGAGGAGGACAACTGGCTCAGGTCATCTGCGCAAGAGAACCTGCATTCATTCAGCTTTTTTCAGGGTCCTCTTGGAACCTAACCAAAGCCCAGCGCCACCCAGGAAAATAACAGTTCCCCGAGGGGGTATGCAACCCACTGAAGGGTCCCCACCTGCTGTAGCACAGCTCTGGGCCTTGTAGCAGCCAGGTGTCTGAGTCAGGGGTAAAGGGCTGGTGAACTTGGTTCTCAGCACAGGAGGGTCATCCGAGGGCTGCCATGGTGGTCCAAGCTGTGTGTTTGGCCTACATGACTCACAGCTCCTGCAACCCTGTGCCATGTGGGAGAACCCTGTTCTTCACTCCTCAGCCACCTATCACTAGCACCGAAGTGGGGTGGCCCAGCACCCAATGTGTATTCCCCTGCATCTGACCCTGTCAATTCCTGTGACAGTCTCCTCAACTGACACTGTTTCCTCACAGTGATGGTCCCTTTACCTGATCTTGTTACTCCATAGTGAAGACCTCTTACCTGACCCTGTCACCTCATAGTGACGGTTCCTTCATGTGACTCTTCCTCACAGTGGCAGTTCCTTTACCTGAGCCTCTTACCTCATAAATATTTTCCCTTTTATCTCTCCCCATCACCTCACAATTACAGTCCCTTTACCTAGCCCTTTTAATTGGCACACAGAACAACTTCAACTGCCCCTCCTTCTAGACATCACCTACATCTGAAAAAAAAATGGCAACCAGACTAAGACTGAGTCCCTGGAATAGCTGAGGACATGGAAGAGGTTTGTTATTGAGAGAATCAGAAATAGAACTTCCCTGCTTACAAGGCCACCCCTTTCTGGAGTCCTAGTGAATTTCAGGTGTGAGGGGCTGTTGTTATGGCTTTGTCTCAGTGTTTCCCCAAAGCCTCATTGCTCATAAGTGGGGCTCTTTCCAGGTGGCTGGATCTAGGGTGTATGAATATGGCTTAAAGGCATGATGCTGAGGTTAAAGTGTGTGGATCAGTGCATTAGTTGGTTTATCATAGTTCTGAGTAACACCACCCAAAAGGTGGTGTTATTGTTTGTGTCTGGATGTCCCCCCAAAGCCTCATGCAGTCATGGGGTGGGCTTCTAGAGTTTTTGATTGATTCATGGTCCAATGCTGGGATTATGAGTGTGAGTGCTACACCTGCCCTGGAGTAGGTAACCTGCATACAACATAAGGGAGGGAAAGAGACTTGCTCTCTGCTGCTCCTCCATTTTTGCTCTTGTTGCTTTTGATGTTTTCTGCCACTATGAACTGGTGCCCTCTTCTATGTGCCACTCTGCCTTGGAGCTAGCTGAGTATAGACTGAAACCTCCACAAACTGTGAGCTAAAAAGACCTTTCTTTCCTTAATTTTGGACATCAGGTATTTCATCTCAGCAATGAGAAAATGAGTAACCAAGACAGAAATTGGGGGGCTGGGGATTTAGCTCAGAGGCACAGCGCCTGCCTGGCAAGCGTGAGGTTGTGAGTTCGATTCCCGGTACTGGAAAAAAAAAACAAAAAACAAAACAAACAAACAAAAAAGACAGAAATTGGTACTGAGAGTGGGGTCACTGTTGTAATGTTGCCTGGCCATGTGACTTAAGAGCATTTGGAATTAATATGGAAAAGTTTTGAGATACTGTCCCAAGAGGCAGCCCCTGTATGCTGTAAACTATATAGGAGACTCTGGTCAGAGCCTGGAAAATCAGAATGCTGACGGAAATACTGCCAGTTAAGATGAAGCTCAGGAGGCTTCAATTGAGAAGGACTGCACTGGCTGCTGGATCCCAGGTAGTATACTGTGCTTTGGCAGAAAATTGGTCTGCATTTTGCTTGTGTTTAGAGATACTGCCTAGTTGCAAAAAGAAAAATTTCAATGTAGTCTATTGTTGGGAAACTGGCATGGTCACTGTTGAGAGGTTTTGGCCAGATCTATGTTTGAAATTAAGAGTGAAGAGCCAGTAAGGTGATAGTATAGAGCCTGGGATGGATGGGGGAGGCTCTAATGGTGCTTTGGGTTGCAAGGATGAAATAGAGGAGAACACTGTTGTTAAGAACAGGACAATAGAAAAATAAACTGAAGGCACTGAACTACTAAGGCTGCGAGAGAGAAGCCGGTGGCCATGACCCCTACAGACAGTCCCAGCCAAGCTGTTTCAACCACGTGAAATGGGTTTTGCATGGGTTGCACCGTGGGTGTGGCGGTTGGGGCACTCTTTGGCACATTTTCCTGTCTCAGGATCTGAATGTGGGGTCAAGGGCTGATGGGCAGCATTGGAAAAACCATGAGGCAGAGTGGCGGCACCTTTGGCACATTCATGGCCATCAGAATGGGCATATGATGCTAACCAGGGCAGTGATTGCCTGCTACATCTACACCTTCCCATCCGTCCCAGGCCCTGAACTATAATAAAAGTCTTTCTTGTCAAAAAAAAAAAAAGAAGAAAAAGAAACTGAAGTCTTTCACCTGAAGATAAGTGTATTTGAATTATAGGAGAACACTGTTTTTAGCCATGCCTTGTTAAATGTTAATGGGAAACAAAGACTGTGATTGTAATAGTTCTTTTAATATGTTTCTAATGTTATTTTTAGATATATGTTTGTAATCAAGTTAGTCAAAGTATTGTGCTTTAACCTTGAATTTTGGTCACCCTTTGTATATTTTGTTTTTAGCACAGAAATGAGTGCAATAAGAATTATGTATATGTAATTGTTAAATTAATGTAAATTTGAATAGACCAAGACATATTAACTTTCACAAATCTGCCATTGGAGACTGCAGTTTAAGGAAATGTATATGGTATTCAAGTTGACCAGGGGTGGATTACAGTGGATTGACAACTGGTGGTCAACTTGTAACACCCAGCTGAACTAAGTCAGTATGGTGCTGGGTGAGGGAGGCCCACCTGAGGATTGTTGCCAGCAGCATAAGAGGCAGAACTGGAGAGGAAGAAGTTTAGACGCTGTTGGGAGCTCTTTGGAAGCTGTTAGTGAGCTGCTGGTTTTCTTGGAGGAGTTTGTCATGCTGGCTTACCTGATGAACTTGGCTGTTCTCTTCATCAAAGGAGCTTGGGACCTTGTTGTCACTGAGAATGGCTACAGTTCACTTTAGGGGAGCTCTGGTCCTCACTTTCAGCATTGCTTCCTGCCCCCAGAGGGGAAGATGGTGCACTGCTCAGTCTCCTGGACAAGCTTGTCACATTGGCTTTCCTGATGGGAACTTGGCTTTCCTCATTGTCAGAGGAGCTTGGGATCTCACTGTTGCTGAAGATGGCTGTGGTACTTTGTGGGGGAGCTCTGGGTCTTACTTTGAGCATCATTTTCTGGCTCCAGTTCAGATCCCTTAGCTTGCTAGCACAGATCCTTCATCCCACTGGTACAGACTTTCTAGCTTCCAACACTGACCTTTGGGTCTTCCCAGTGCAGATTTGTGAAACAGGCCTGCATGAGGCATTGTTGTGGGCTCTTGGCCTCCAGTTGGACTCATGGGGGGTATTGTTATGAGCTGTACATCTTCAACTGGACTCATGCAGGACATTACCACAGGACCCAGGCCTTCAGCTGGATTCTTTGGTCTTTAATGTGTGGACAGATTTCCTGCACTTTTTGTATATGACTCTTTGGGTGACTATCATAAAATAATCTTATAAAATACATGTCCTATATTGTATTGTTGTCCTTGTAAAACCCCAAACTACAACAGGTGTGTACCCTGGATGGAATATAAAAGGACAGAAAGAAGTTGCTGCTACTGGTGCTTGCTGCTTTCTGCCTCCCCTGCCACACTATGAACTGTTTCTCCCCTGCATTGCCTCTCTGCTGTGCCACCTTGCTGTGGAACCAGCTGCCTACAGACTGAGACCTCTACAAACTGTGAGCTTAATTAAACTTTTCCTCCTTTAACTTTCAGTGTCCAGTATTTTGTCTCAGCAATTAAAATAGAAACAAAGAGTAGGACTCTGTTTCCAGGACTTGAGTGTCTTTTGTCCAGAATGTTCTTGTTTTCTATTTTATTTGCACCTCTCAGTAGCCAATAGCATGCAGATTATGTCTGAAACAACCTATTCTATCAGAAACCCCATAGCACAAACCCCTCTGTTTTTATCATTGATTGTCCTGGGTCACAAATCAAATAGAAGTGTTTGGCAAAACCAAACTCAGAAGCTATGTCTTTTGACTTACTAAACTGAGGTTGAATACACATAAAATTAACCATGTAAAAGTGAGCTGTGTCTGACATTTAGAATTGTCATAAAGTTGTACAACCATCACCTGTATCTAGTTCCCAAGGCCCTTAACTCCCCAAAGAGAAAAACTTATGCACTAGCATTCTCTCTTGAGTGTCCTTCCTCCTGACCCCAGCAGCTGCCAATCTGTTTTCTATCCATTTGGATTTGCCTATTATAGATATTTCATATAAATGGACTGAAACAATGGTGCCCAGCATCTTTCATGTAACAGAATGCTTCCAAGGATCATCCACGTTGTAGTGTGTGTCAGTGCTTTGCTCCTTTTTATGGCTGAATCATATTCCAGTGTATGAATGGACTACATGGTATGTATGCATTCACCAGCTGATAAACATTTGGGTTTTTCCCCTTTTTGATGGTTATGAATGAAGCTGCTCTGACATTGTAGTGGTTCAGCTTAACTGTCAACTAAGCCAGGCGTGGTGGTGCATGCCTGTATTCCCAGCACTCAGGAGGCTGAGGCAGGAGAACTGTTGCAAGTTTGAGGCCAGCTTGGGCTACAAAGGAACTCAAACCCAGCCTAAACTGCATAGCAAGACCCTTTCTCAAAAAAAAGACCAAAAAAAAAAAAAAACCCCAAAAACCTGTCAACTAGATTGCTTTGGAAGCTGCTGGTGGTATTATTAAAGCATACTTCTGGGTGTGTCTGTGTGAGTGTGTCTAGTCCCTGGCCCCTTCCTCTCTGGCACTGTTTCCCTGCTCTGCTTCCTGGTGGCCATGAGCTGAGCATCTTAGCTCTGCCACACCCTTCTGCCATCATGTTCCTGCCTTGTAGCAGCCAGTCATAGACTGAATCCTCTGAAGTCATGTGTAGGGGACCAGATACTGAGGATTGAGGGCTAATTGACAATCTCTGTGAGCACAAAGGAGAAAAACAGCAAGCTGTGCTCCTTTGGCAATATTCAGGCATGCTGGCCATTGCATGTTCCAGGGAAGAGTCAACACAGCTGAGATCCAGTTATTTACCTGAGGACATACTATAGATAACAGCAGGCAGATGAATCTTCTGCTACCCTAGTTGCTTGCTCCTGTGTCTAAGTAAATAAAAGCGAGGTGGGCCAAACGCTTAGGGCTCTTCTGTCCACTAGAGGCAAAGAGCTCCCTGGGTCCCACATTCCAGATTAATTCTGTGTCTTTTATTCTTGTTCACCCCTGGTAGGGGATAAACTCGTAGACTGGTTCCTATAGTCATGAGCCAGATAAACCTCTCCTCCTTTAAATTCTAGCTAATGAGTATTTTGTTCAGCAATGGAAATGCTGACTGATACAAGCACTCATATAGAAGATTTTGTTTGAACACTGTTCTTTGAATTGTCTTGGGTTTACCCACAGGGATAGAATTGGACATGATAAGGACATGACAAAGACACAATGGGGATAAAGCAAGGACACAAGGACATGGCAGGAACATGGAAAACATGGTGAAGACATAGAGGACACAACAGGAACACATAGATGTAGTGGTGACACAGCAGAGGCATGGGGACACAGAGGACATGCAGGGACATGGCAGTGACATGGAGAATGTGATAAGAACTCTGTAGGGATATAGACGACACATTGGGGATGTAACATTTTACCGCTTCTGAATAGGCTTCCTCCTCTTCCTGCCTGCATACGTGCACTCCCCTGGCGGAATCATTGTCTTCAGCCCTAAAAAGAATCCAGTGAGGTGATCACACAGTCAGACCCTACATGACACTTGCAGGGCCCACCATGAGGTCCCAAAGTCACCAATAGCAAGAAAGTCAGCCAGGACCACTACCCCCAGGTGCCCCATGGTGGGGACCACACTGGGGACTGAGGCACTGCTTGAGACCCACACACACCTGCCCACACTCAGAACAGAACCATCATATAGGTGCCAGAAGGCTGGCACACAGCTGAAGCTCAGGCAGCAGCTACTCCTGGAGCTGAGGTGTTGGAGAAATTGCAGCTCTGTGCTTCAGCTGGGCCTCCTTCTCCCATTATATCCTAGCCTCACAGTTAAGGTCTCTGATCCTTGTGTGAAATCTCTGTCCTGCTCGGCTCCCACTTTGGCCACTAACTCAGATCACCAGGGCCTAGCTGACCATACCTAACAGTGCTGGATACAAGCACATGGCTCAGGCAAAGGTCCTGAAGCAGCTCAGGGCCTGGGCAATTTGCCTAGCACCACAGGGGTCATCTCTTTCTGTCACAGACCATTGGCCTTTCCATGCATGAGGACATCTGGGCCTGCATGGTCCCCTCAGACCTCTGCAACCTTGGAGGGTGCAGAAGAGCCCTTGCCTGACCTCACAGTGTGTGGAATCTGCAAGAGGCCAATTTACATTCTCCACCCAGGGATGCTGCTGTGATGACAGATCCACTTTGAATATAAAGACATAAGCAGACAAAGTGAATGCATAAAAGACTCACTGTGCAAACTCTGGTCAAATGGCTGCAGCAGCTATAAGCTTCAGTCAGAAACTTCAGAACAAGTGGCAGAGGTATTGTGAAATGAAGTGACCCACTCTCCAAGGAGACATAGTAAGCCTGAATATGAACATGCCTAGCAACAGGGCTTCAAAATACACAAAACAAAAACTAATCAAACTGTATGATTCATTGGAGACAACGATGTCCCTTTCAGTGATCAAAAGAAAAGGCAGCAGGATCTCAGCTGGGGCACAGGATGCTCAAGATCAGTAGCCCGAACACCCAGGTCACTGTCTGCACGTGGACATTCACCAAGACTCATATCCAGGACTTCAGTGATCACTAAAAAAATCTTTAAAAGTAGAAATTGTACAAAGTATGCTTCTGAAATAATGGAAATAAACTAAAAAGATATCTGGAAAATTCCCAAATATTTGGAAAGAAATGCCCTTCTAAATAACCATGGGTCAAAGAGAAAGTATCAAGAAATTTCAAAAATGGGGCATGGGCAGTCTGCCATTGCTCTTTGAGTGGCCCAGGTCTGGCTCCTGCACACGCCCTGAACTGACTAAGAAGCAGAACCAGGCAGGCTACAACCCACTCCCACTGCCACAGTTCCCAGCAGAAACTCACAGAGAGAGCCAGGTTTTTCCCATCTACTTCCTGGAGGCAGAGCGGGTAACCCAGGACCCCGCCACCATTACAGTCTGAGACTCTGCCCTCCGTGCACCCATGGCAGACAGAAATTCCTCACTCAGAAGCCCCGGGGACTTCTCTCACCGGGATTCGCGTGTGGGCCCTCCCTGTGCAGGCCCTGCACTGAGTGAGTGAGTGCTCCAAGAGCTGCTGATCCCATGGTTCAAGTCCATGCTTTACTTGTGCCCAGAACCCCTGGAGGGTCACAGGCACGGGCAGTCTGTGATTGCTGTTGGTCCGGCCCACATCTGGTTCCTCTATGTGTCCTGAACTGACTGCAGACACAGAATCAGGTGGTTCACAATCTGTCAACCCTGCAGTTCATGTCTGGGTTTTGCCTGTACCCTGAACTGCCTGGGGACATAGGTCCACTGGACCAGGATTGTCACACCAGTACAACCCAAGTCTGGGCCATGCACGTGCCCTGAACTTCAAGGGGACACTGAATCAGACAGTCTGCCATCAGCTGACACCAATGCCCACATCTGAGACCTGGGATAACGAGATACAAATCAACAACTGCCGGAAAACCCCAGACTAAGTAGTGCTTCTCAGCAGACACTAAGGGGCAAACCTGACCAATAGGAAAACTAGCAGCCTTTGCTGTGCAGCTACTGAAGAGGGAAACTGAGCTTTCTGCATCCAGTAGCAAACATGACAAAATGAAGGACTAAAACACAATCCCAGAACTCCAGCCCACTCAGAACAAGTCCAGGAGACATTGACATAAGAGAATTTGGTAAACACATGCCTGAAATAGCTGAAATGATTGCAATTGAAGTAAAGAAACAACTCCA